CTTAGCAGTAACTGTCTTGAAGCCAATCTAACTACAAATAGTAGTCTTTTCCGCCTTGAGAAATTGCAGAGCCTCAACCTTGCTTACAATGAATTTAGCTACCCCAATATATCATTTGGGTTCCATAATTGGAAGAGTTTGACATATCTTAATCTCTCAAGTATGATATTTCATTTTTTTTTCTCGTTTGTTTAAAATCCCCATGCTTCCAAAACTGGTTTCACTTCTTCTAATGTGACGAATCTTTAACTTTGCAGATGCAGGATCTATGGATGGTTCTCTCTTGTTTGATGAGATCTCTTAGCTATTGAAATTGGTTTCACTCGATCTCTCCAGCAATTATGGTTTGCTTCTTGACAACATAAAGTTTCAAATGCTTGTGCATAACTTAACAGAGTTAAGGTTTCTTATCTTTGATTCTGTGGATATGTCTCCGGTTGTGCCTTCTTCCTTGCTAAAGTTGACTTCTTCCTTGGAGCATTTGAGCCTTAGCTCTTGTAATTTGCAAGGAAACTTTCCAAACCAAGTTTTTCAGCTTCCATGTCTCCAGCTTCTTGATTTAAGTTACAATTATTATTTAAGAGGTAATTTGCTTGAGTCAAACTGGAGTAGTACCCTCGAGTATTTGAATCTTGCAATCACAAACTTCTTAGGAGAGTTGCCTCATTCGATCGGAAACCTTAAATTCCTAAAGAAATTGAATCTTGATAGCTGCCAATTTTATGGATCAATTCCTCGATCTCTTGCAAATCTTACAGAGCTAACTGATTTGAGCTTAGATGCAAACAATTTTGGTGGTGAGATTCCTGCATCAATCTTCAACCTCACCCATCTTACTTTTTTGTCACTCTCATCAAATAAGCTATTAGGTCAGGTACCTTCTTGGTTGTTTTCTCTGCCTTCTATATCCTATTTAGATCTCGATGACAACTGCTTTACCGGACCTATTGATCATGTTGAGATGCCTAATCTCATTTTACAACAAGTCTATTTGTCCAATAATAAGATAAGTGGTTCAATTCCTAGCTGCTTCTTTGATCTTGTGAATCTTACTAGTGTCGACCTTTCTTCAAATAATTTAAGTGGCACTATTACAGCCAACATGCTTTCAAAACTTGTACACCTTTCGAATTTGGATCTTTCCCATAATAGTTTGCTGTCTTTGAGCAATAATGGCACTGCTATCAACTATTCCTTTCCGAACCTCCGGTCTTTAAAATTCTCTTCTTCCAACATACACAAGTTCCCAAGTTTCTTAAGCAAGACAGAGAGTTTGCGGGAATTGGATATTTCCAATAGTCAGATAAGTGGTTCAATTCCTAGCTTCTTCTTTGATCTTGTGAATCTTACTAGTGTCGACCTTTCTTCAAATAATTTAAGTGGCACCATTACACCCGACATGCTTTCGAAGCTTGTAGACCTTGAGGATCTTGATCTTTCCAATAATAGTTTACTGTCTTTGAGCAATAATGGCACCGGTGTCAACTATTCCTTCCCGAACCTCTGGTCTTTAAAATTCTCTTCTTGCAACATATACAAGTTCCCAAGTTTCTTAAGGAAGGCAAAGAATTTGCAACAATTGGATATTTCTAAGAATAACATTTCTGGTCAAATTCACAAATGTGAAATAGAAGGGATGTCATTGCATACCTTAAACCTTTCTTATAACTTCTTGACTGGTATAGATTCATTTGGTTTTGGAAAACTTGAAACTGTTGACCTCAGATCCAACTTACTACAAGGATCACTCCCCATTCTATCAACAACTTGGTATTCTATGCAACAACTCTTCATTTCAGGGAATGATTTGAATGGCGAAATCCCCTCTTCTTATTGCAATATGACTTCTCTTAGAGTTCTGGATTTAGCTTATACTAGTTTGGGAGGAAAAATTCTAGAATGTCTTGGAAACTTGAGAAATCTCACCTTCTTGGATCTGCGGATGAATAAGCTTCATGGTAGAATACCAAATTCTTTTGTCAACAAGAGTGAGCTGAGAACTCTTACCCTAAATGGCAACCAATTGGAAGGTATACTGCCACGGTCTTTGGTTAATTGTAGTCAGTTGGAAATTCTAGATGTGGGGAACAACAACTTGAATGATAACTTTCCAGATTGGTTAGGTGTTCTTCAATCCCTAAAAGTTCTCGTCCTTCGATCTAATGGATTTCATGGTTCTACCAACAATTCTATGCCTGCATTTTACTTCCCTCAGTTGAGAATCATTGATGTCGCGTAGAATGATTTTCTAGGTCTCTTACCGAGTAACTATTTCAAAAATTTGAAAGGTATGAGAGATGTGGCTTAAGCTGATAAATTGGAATACATTGGTGAGGAGCAATACATTGGTGACGAGCAATACATTGGTAACAAGTATTACCCGCAAAGATGTGCTCCATGTAGATGCCCAAGTCGTCATCCGTTTTATTATAAGGATTCTGTGAAGGTAGTAATGAAAGGCTCAGAGAGGGAGCTTGTAAGGATCTTGAAAATTTTCACAACTATAGATTTCTCGAGCAATCAGTTTCATGGATTGATTCCTGAAGAG